GTTTGCAACGCCAGGGTTGTGGGTTTGATTCCCACGGGGGGCCAGTATAAAAAAAAGATGTATTCACTAACTGTAAGTCGCTCTGGATAAGAGCGTCTGCTAAATGACTAAAATGTAAATGTAAATATATGCAGGCTGAACCAGACAATGCAGTGTTGTTCAATACCACAGTCTTATCTCAACTGATTATATAAAACAAAAGAATGGCGGTCATATAGCGTGGGTTAACTGCATCGCTAGCTAAATCCATCACCATTAACAGCAACTGCTTGACATGCATGACGGACCCTGTGTTAGAAAGGCTTGTAAATGGACAATACACCCAGGAGAGGAGAGATGTGAGCTGGGATAGCGGGACTGGCAGGGGGGTAGCAGGTCTGGCTGGGGGTAGTAGGACTGGCTGGGGGTAGTAGAACTGGCTGGGGGGTAGTTGGACTGGATGGGGGGTAGTAGGACTGGCTGGGGGGTAGTTGGTCTGGCTGGGGGGGTAGTATAACTGGCTGGGGGGGTAGTAGGACTGGCTGGGGGGTAGTAGGACTTGCCTGGGGGGTAATAGGACTGGCTGGGGGGTAGTAGAACTTGCCTGGGGGGTTATAGGACTGCCTGGGGGGTAATAGGACTGGCTGGGGGGTAGTAGGACCGCCTGGGGGGTAGTATGACTGGCTGGGGGGTAGTAGGACCGGCTGGGGGGTAGTAGGACTGGCTGGGGGGGTAGTAGGACTTGCCTGGGGGGTAATAGGACTGGCTGGGGGGTTGTAGGACTTGCCTTGGGGGTAGTAGGACTGGCTGGGGCGTAGTTGGTCTAGCTGGGGGATAGTAGGACTGGCTGGGGGGTAGTTGGTCTGGCTGGGGGGTAGTAGGACTGGCTGGGGGGTAGTAGGACTGGCTGGGGGTGGGGGGTAGTAGGACTGGCTGGGGGGTAGTAGGACTGGCTGGGGGGTAGTTGGTCTGGCTGGGGGGTAGTATGACTGGCTGGGGGGTAATAGGACTGGCTGGGGAGATAGTAGGACTGGCTGGGGGGTGGGGGGTAGTAGGACTGGCTGGGGGGTAGTTGGTCTAGCTGGGGGATAGTAGGACTGGCTGGGGGGTAGTTGGTCTGGCTGGGGGGTAGTAGGACTGGCTGGGGGGTAGTAGGACTGGCTGGGGGTGGGGGGGTAGTAGGACTGGCTGGGGGGTAGTAGGACTGGCTGGGGGGTAGTTGGTCTGGCTGGGGGGTAGTATGACTGGCTGGGGGGTAATAGGACTGGCTGGGGGTGGGGGGTAGTTGGTCTGGCTGGGGGGTAGTATGACTGGCTGGGGGGTAGTAGGACTGGCTGGGGATATAGTAGGACTGGCTGGGGGGCAGTAGGACTGGCTGGGGGTGGGGGGTAGTAGGACTGGCTGGGGGGTAGTAGGACTGGCTGGGGAGATAGTAGGACTGGCTGGGGAGATAGTGGGACTGGCTGGGTGGGCAGTAGGACTGACTGGGGAGATAGTAGGACTGGCTGGGGGTGGGGGGTAGTAGGACTGGCTGGGGGGGTAGTAGGACTGGCTGGGGAGATAGTAGGACTGGCTGGGGAGGTAGTAGGACTGGCTGGGGGGGGGGCAGTAGGACTGACTGGGGAGATAGTAGGACTGGCTGGGGGTGGGGGGTAGTATGACTGGCTGGGGGGTAGTAGGGCTGGCTGGGGAGATAGTAGGACTGGCTGGGGAGATAGTAGGACTGGCTGGGGGGGGCAGTAGGACTGACTGGGGAGATAGTAGGACTGGCTGGGGGGGCAGTAGGACCGGCTGGGGGTGGGGGGTAGTAGGACTGGCTGGGGGGGTAGTAGGACTGGCTGGGGGGTAGTAGGACTGGCTGGGGGGTAGTAGGACTGGCTGGGGAGATAGTAGGACTGGCTGGGGAGATAGTAGGACTGGCTGGGGGGGCAGTAGGACTGACTGGGGAGATAGTAGGACTGGCTGGGGGTGGGGGGTAGTATGACTGGCTGGGGGGTAGTAGGGCTGGCTGGGGAGATAGTAGGACTGGCCGGGGAGATAGTAGGACTGGCTGGGGGGGCAGTAGGACCGGCTGGGGGTGGGGGGTAGTAGGACTGGCTGGGGGGTAGTAGGACTGACTGGGGAGATAGTAGGACTGGCTGGGGAGATAGTGGGACTGGCTGGGTGGGCAGTAGGACTGACTGGGGAGATAGTAGGACTGGCTGGGGGTGGGGGGTAGTAGGACTGGAACAGTTGATAATCAATACCTGGTTATGAGGGGAAGGGAGGGGGGGGGGGGGGGGGATTTTTGTTTGAATGTGAAACAGATATTGTTTGGTTGGGAAAACCAGTTTTGCAAGTAGGCCTACATTTTATTTTGTCAATACCTGAAAACTCCCTTTTCCCACTTGGGAAGATGGTGCAAAATCTAAACCAAAGTGAGTATATTGAACCAAAATTATAATGGATAACCTGAACTCCAAAAAGGTTCAGGAGCACATTTCAAAGCCAATGCTTTTGTATCCTCCTCAAACCAGCCTTCATGACTGTTCTAGTGTCTCCCAAAATGCTAGATGGAGAGAAAGTGGACCATGATGTAAGTTTGTCTTTCCCTACCCATATGGAATACAGCTGTTCTTCGTGGACAGTCTCAGATATTTCTTCAATGCCTAATGGTAATTCTAGCATGGGGTTGTAAGGGTTATCTGATCCGAGATCTGTGGTTAAGTGCAACTTCTGACTGGCTGGGGGGTAGTTGGACTGGATGGGGGGTAGTAGGACTGGCTGGGGGGTAGTTGGTCTGGCTGGGGGGGTAGTATAACTGGCTGGGGGGGTAGTAGGACTGGCTGGGGGTAGTAGGACTTGCCTGGGGGGTAATAGGACTGGCTGGGGGGTAGTAGAACTTGCCTGGGGGGTTATAGGACTGCCTGGGGGGTTGTAGGACTTGCCTGGGGGGTAATAGGACTGGCTGGGGGGTAGTAGGACCGCCTGGGGGGTAGTATGACTGGCTGGGGGGTAGTAGGACCGGCTGGGGGGTAGTAGGACTGGCTGGGGGGTAGTAGGACTTGCCTGGGGGGTAATAGGACTGGCTGGGGGGGTTGTAGGACTGGATGGGGGGTAGTAGGACTGGCTGGGGGGTAGTTGGTCTGGCTGGGGGGGGTAGTATAACTGGCTGGGGGGGTAGTAGGACTGGCTGGGGGGTAGTAGGACTTGCCTGGGGGGTAATAGGACTGGCTGGGGGGTAGTAGAACTTGCCTGGGGGGTTATAGGACTGCCTGGGGGGTTGTAGGACTTGCCTGGGGGGTAATAGGACTGGCTGGGGGGTAGTAGGACCGCCTGGGGGGTAGTATGACTGGCTGGGGGGTAGTAGGACCGGCTGGGGGGTAGTAGGACTGGCTGGGGGGGTAGTAGGACTTGCCTGGGGGGTAATAGGACTGGCTGGGGGGTTGTAGGACTGGCTGGGGGGTAGTAGGACTTGCCTTGGGGGTAGTAGGACTGGCTGGGGCGTAGTTGGTCTAGCTGGGGGATAGTAGGACTGGCTGGGGGGTAGTTGGTCTGGCTGGGGGGTAGTAGGACTGGCTGGGGGTGGGGGGTAGTAGGACTGGCTGAGGGGTGGGGGGGTAGTAGGACTGGCTGGGGGGTAGTAGGACTGGCTGGGGGTGGGGGGTAGTAGGACTGGCTGGGGGGTAGTTGGTCTGGCTGGGGGGTAGTATGACTGGCTGGGGGGTAATAGGACTGGCTGGGGAGATAGTAGGACTGGCTGGGGAGATAGTAGGACTGGCTGGGGGTGGGGGGTAGTAGGACTGGCTGGGGGGGTAGTTGGTCTGGCTGGGGGGTAGTATGACTGGCTGGGGGGGTAGTAGGACTGGCTGGGGATATAGTAGGACTGGCTGGGGGGCAGTAGGACTGGCTGGGGGTGGGGGGTAGTAGGACTGGCTGGGGGGTAGTAGGACTGGCTGGGGAGATAGTAGGACTGGCTGGGGAGATAGTGGGACTGGCTGGGTGGGCAGTAGGACTGACTGGGGAGATAGTAGGACTGGCTGGGGGTGGGGGGGTAGTAGGACTGGCTGGGGGGGGTAGTAGGACTGGCTGGGGAGATAGTAGGACTGGCTGGGGAGGTAGTAGGACTGGCTGGGGGGGGGGCAGTAGGACTGACTGGGGAGATAGTAGGACTGGCTGGGGGTGGGGGGGTAGTATGACTGGCTGGGGGGTAGTAGGGCTGGCTGGGGAGGACTGGCTGGGGAGATAGTAGGACTGGCTGGGGGGGCAGTAGGACTGACTGGGGAGATAGTAGGACTGGCTGGGGGGGCAGTAGGACCGGCTGGGGGTGGGGGGTAGTAGGACTGGCTGGGGGGTAGTAGGACTGGCTGGGGGTAGTAGGACTGGCTGGGGGGTTAGTAGGACTGGCTGGGGAGATAGTAGGACTGGCTGGGGAGATAGTAGGACTGGCTGGGGGGGCAGTAGGACTGACTGGGGAGATAGTAGGACTGGCTGGGGGTGGGGGGGTAGTATGACTGGCTGGGGGGTAGTAGGGCTGGCTGGGGAGATAGTAGGACTGGCCGGGGAGATAGTAGGACTGGCTGGGGGGGCAGTAGGACCGGCTGGGGGTGGGGGGTAGTAGGACTGGCTGGGGGGTAGTAGGACTGACTGGGGAGATAGTAGGACTGGCTGGGGAGATAGTGGGACTGGCTGGGTGGGCAGTAGGACTGACTGGGGAGATAGTAGGACTGGCTGGGGGGTGGGGGGGTAGTAGGACTGGAACAGTTGATAATCAATACCTGGTTATGAGGGGAAGGGAGGGGGGGGGGGATTTTTGTTTGAATGTGAAACAGATATTGTTTGGTTGGGAAAACCAGTTTTGCAAGTAGGCCTACATTTTATTTTGTCAATACCTGAAAACTCCCTTTTCCCACTTGGGAAGATGGTGCAAAATCTAAACCAAAGTGAGTATATTGAACCAAAATTATAATGGATAACCTGAACTCCAAAAAGGTTCAGGAGCACATTTCAAAGCCAATGCTTTTGTATCCTCCTCAAACCAGCCTTCATGACTGTTCTAGTGTCTCCCAAAATGCTAGATGGAGAGAAAGTGGACCATGATGTAAGTTTGTCTTTCCCTACCCATATGGAATACAGCTGTTCTTCGTGGACAGTCTCAGATATTTCTTCAATGCCTAATGGTAATTCTAGCATGGGGTTGTAAGGGTTATCTGATCCGAGATCTGTGGTTAAGTGCAACTTCTGACCTCTCACACTTGACCCTGTCCTGCCTGTAGGATCTCCACCGCAAGCATATGGAGAAGGACCTGACTGAGCTGCAGACGCTTATTGAGGCCCATTTTGAGAGCCACCAAAAAGAGGAAGAGGAGCTCATCGACCTCACTGATGGTATTGTGAGATACTGTCACATTCTGTGTAGGCTACAGATAGCCTGCTGGTTGCTCTGTCATTGCTTCACGTACAGTTCCAGTCAAATACTTGTAATAAGGTTATGGTCTGTGATATAATAGGAATTAAATATCTATGGGATGGGGATCACTGGCTTCTAATCTGTTACTATCCTCTCTGTGCCTAGATCTCAGGATAAGTGCAGGTCTGAGAGAGCAGAGCAGGTGAGGATCCGAACAGAGAAAGAAAAGGAGCGTCAAAACAGAACAAACGTGAGTATCCCCATAGCGACACAAGGAAGGGAAGTGAACAGCATGGAACGCTGTATATTAGTAGAAAGTAGGACAACTGTAGTAATGTTGTAGTAATATTGTGGTAATGTTGTAGTAATGTTTTAGTGATGTTTTGGTAATGCTGTAGCAATATTGTGGTAATGATGTAGTCATGTTGTAGTAATGCTGTAGTAATGCTGTAGTAATGGTGTGGTAATGTGGTAGTAATGTGGGGTTATGTGGTGGTAATGTTGTAGTAATGTTGTAGTAATGCTGTAGTAATGTTGTGGTCATGTGGTAGTAATGTGGGGCTGTGTGGTGGTAATGTTGTGGTAATGTTGTAGTAATGTTGTAGTAATGTTGTGGTCATTTAGTAGTAATGTGGGGTTGTGTGGTGGTAATGTTGTGGTAATGTTGTAGAATGTTGTAGTAATGCTGTGGTCATGTGGTAGTAATGTTGGGTTGTGTGGTGGTAATTTTGTGGTAATGTTGTAGTAATGTTGTACGTTTCTCTCATCTCCAGGACGAAAGGGCACGGAAGGAGGAAGAGGAATTTAAGAAGAAACCCGAGGATGACGCCAATAAAAAGAAGGTCCTCACCAACTTGCAGTCCAGCGGGTATAAGGTGACCGAAATCATCCTAAAACACCACTACAGCAGTTATCAGAGCTAATGTCTGTTATTTTTATTATAACTACAGACAGAAAAGAATGGCAGGCCAAAAATGAAAACAGAGCGAGAGAAGAAGAGAGCGATCTTAAGTGAACGGCGAAAGGAGCTGAATATTGACCATCTCAAACAGGACAAACTAATGTAACTGGGTTCAGAAGAACTTTACACTGGCATGTAGTTCTGATAACAGTATGAGGGACATTCTCCAATAATTAATATGTTAAAATCTTACCCTAACCAGATTAACTACTCTCTCATTATTAATTATACACACTTGTACATGTGTGAAATAGGACAAATAAACGCACCAAATTATTATTATTATTATTATTATTATTATGCCACAGATGTTCAGTTAACCTCTGAGCAGAATTATAGGCTCTTCCTAATTTCCCCTATGTTATGTTATTTCCACTCCATATAGAGAGAAGGCTGCTGACCTGTGGAAGTGGATATATCAGCTTGAGGCAGAGAAATTTGATCTGCAGTACCAACACTCACGGCAGAAATATGATGTAAGATTTACACATTCTTTTCATTCTAGACTTTAGGCTATAGTGTCAAACTGAGTAAACAGTATGTATAATATAATATGCCATTTAGCAGACGCTTTTATCCAAAGCAACTTACAGTCATGTGTGCATACATTTTTACGTATGGGTGGTCCCGTGGATCGAACCCACTACCCTGGCGTTACAAGCGCCATGCTCTACCAATTGAGCTACAGAGGACCACTCGAACCTGTGCATGTGATTCACAACAGCCTTGCTAACACCTGTACTATAAAGTGACATGAGTATAGATGTATATACTGCTTTTGCATAAAATTAACAAAATACCACAAAACCGCACCCTCTGAAGTTCGTCCAAGATCTGGAAACTACTGTATATCTCACTTGAATGGACTTGACAGGGAGACATAGAAAAGTCAGTTGGCTGTGATCCAAGATAAATATAAAGATATATGTTAGATGTTGATAAGAAATATGGTAGATGGTTGTATTTACTGTCAAAACTCTTTATATACAGTGAGGGAAAAAAGTATTTGATCCCCTGCTGATTTTGTACGTTTGCCCACTGACAAAGAAATGATAAGTCTATAATTTTAATGGTAGGTTTATTTGAACAGTGAGAGACAGAATAACAACAAAAAATTCAGAAAAACGCATGTCAAAAATGTTATAAATTGATTTTCATTTTAATGAGGGAAATAAGTATTTGACCCCCTCTCAATCAGAAAGATTTCTGGCTCCCAGGTGTATTTTATACAGGTAAGGAGATTAGGAGCACACTCTTAAAGGGAGTGCTCCTAATCTCAGCTTGTTACCTGTATAAAAGACACCTGTCCACAAAAGCAATCAATCAATAATTTTCCAAACTCTCCACCATGGCCAAGACCAAAGAGCTCTCCAAGGATGTCAGGGACAAGATTGTAGACCTACACAAGGCTGGAATGGGCTACAAGCCCATCGCCAAGCAGCTTGGTGAGAAGGTGACAACAGTTGGTGCGATTATTCGCAAATGGAAGAAACACAAAATAACATAAATAAACAGCGCCGGAAGAAGATGGCTGCCGTTTTACAGCCCTCTAACCAATTGTACTATTATGTGTGTTTTTCCGCGTTATTTGTAATTTATTTTGTACATAATGTTTCTGCCATCGTCTCTTATAACCAAAGAGAGCTTCTGGATATCAGGACAGCGATTACTCACCTCGCATTGGACGAAGACATTTTCTTCAACGAGGCGTTCGCGAAGGATATTCTACAGACACCCAACAAGGCCCAGATCCCCGTCATTCGCGTGAGGAAGAGACGGAGATATCGTGGACGCAGATCCGGGTGCCTTGTAAGGATCCGACGGCGAGCGAGTAAACTGCCTCTCCCATCAATCCTATTAGCCAACGTTCAATCTTTTGAGAATAAAATTGACGATTTAAGATTACGGTTATCCTACCAACGGGACATTAAAAACTGTAATATCTTATGTTTCACGGAGTCGTGGCTGAACGACAACAATGACAACATTCAGCTAGCAGGCTATACGCTACATCGGCAGGACAGAACGTCTGACTCTGGTAAGACAAGGGGCGGCGGTCTCTGTATATTTGTAAACAACAGCTGGTGCACAAAATCAAATACTAAGGAAGTCTCGAGGTTTTGCTCGCCTGAGGTAGAGTATCTTATGATAAGCTGTAGACCACACTATTTACCAAGAGAGTTTTCATCTATATTTTTCATAGCTGTCTATTTACCACCACAAACCAATGCTGGCATTAAGATTGCACTGAATGAGTTGTACAAGGCCATTAATCAACAGGAAAACGCTCATCCAGATGCAGCGCTCCTAGTAGCCGGGGACTTTAATGCAGGGAAACTTAAATCCGTTCTACCTAATTTCTACCAGCATGTTAAATGTGCAACCAGAGGGGAAAAAAAACTCTAGACCACCTTTACTCCACACACAGAGACGCATACAAAGCTCTCCCTCGCCCTCCATTTGGCAAATCTGACCATAACTCTATCCTCCTGATTCCTGCTTATAAGCAAAAACTGAAGCAGGAAGCACCAGTGATTCGGTTAATAAAAAAGTGGTCAGATGACGCAGATGCTAAGCTACAGGGACTGTTTTGCTAGCACAGACTGGAACATGTTCCGGGATTCTTCAGACAGCATTGAGGAGTACACCACATCAGTCACTGGCTTCATCAATAAGTGCATCGATGATGTCGTCCCCACAGTGACCGTAACGTACATACCCCAACCAGAAGCCATGGATTACAGGAAACATCCGCACTGAGCTAAAGGGTAGAGCTGCCGCTTTCAAGGAACGGGACTCTAACCCGGACGCTTATAAGAAATCCCGCTATGACCTCCGACGAACCATCAAACAGGCAAAGAGTCAATACAGGTCTAAGATTGAATCATACTACACTGGCTCTGACGCTCGTCGGATGTGGCAGGGGCTTGAAAACTATTACAGACTACAAAGGGAAGCACAGCCGCGAGCTGCCCAGTGACACAAGCCTACCAGACGAGCTAAAACCACTTCTATGCTCGCTTCGAGGCAAGCAACACTGAAGCATGCATGAGAGCACCAGCTGTTCCGGACGACTATGTGATCACGCTCTCCGTAGCCGATGTGAGTAAGACTTTTAAGCAGGTCAACATTCACAAGGCCGCAGGGCCAGACGGATTACCAGGACGTGTACTCCGAGCATGTGCTGACCAACTGGCAAGTGTCTTCACTGACATTTTCAACATGTCCCTGACTGAGTCTGTAATACCAACATGTTTCAAGCAGACCACCATAGTCCCCGTGCCCAGAACTCTAAGATAACCTGCCTAAATGACTACCGACCCGTAGCACTGACGTCTGTAGCCATGAAGTGCTTTGAAAGACTGGTCATGGCTCACATCAACAGCATAATCCCAGAAAACCCTAGACCCACTCCAATTTGCATACCGCCCCAACAGATCCACAGATGATGCAATCTCTATTGCCACTCCACACTGCCCTTTCCCACCTGGACAAGAGGAACACCTACGTGAGAATGCTATTCATTGACTACAGCTCAGCATTCAACACCATAGTGCCCTCTAAGCTCATCACTAAGCTAAGGATCCTGGGACTAAACACCTCCCTCTGCAACTGGATCCTGGACTTCCTGACGGGCCGCCCCCAGGTGGTAAGGGTAGGTAACAACACATCTGCCACACTGATCCTCAACACGGGGGCCCCTCAGGGGTGCGTGCTCAGTCCCCTCCTGTACTCTCTGTTCACCCATGACTGCATGGCCAGGCACGACTCCAACACCATCATTAAGTTTGCCGACGGACACAACAGTGGTAGGCCTGATCACCGACAACGATGAGACAGCCTATAGGGAGGAGGTCAGAGATCTGGCCGTGTGGTGCCAGGGACAACAACCTCTCCCTCAACGTGACCAAGAACAAAGGAGATGATTGTGGACTACAGGAAAAAAAAGAGGACTGAGCACGCCCCCATTCTCATCGACGGGGCTGTAGTGGAACAGGTTGAGAGCTTCAAGTTCCTTGGTGTCCACATCACCAACGAACTATCATGGTCCAAACACACCAAGACAGTCGTGAAGAGGGCACGACAAAGCCTATTCCCCCTCAGGAGACTAAAAAGATTTGGCATGGGTCCTCAGATCCTCAAAAAAATCTACAGCTGCACCATCGAGAGCATCCTGACTGGTTTGCATCACCGCCTGGTATGGCAACTGCTTGGCCTCTGACCGCAAGGCACTACAGAGGGTAGTGCGTACGGCCCAGTACATCACTGGGGCAAAGCTCCCTGCCATCCAGGACCTCTATACCAGGCGGTGTCAGAGGAAGGCCCTCAAAATTGTCAAAGACTCCAGCCACCCTAGTCATAGACTGTTCTCTCTGCTAACGCACGGCAAAGCGGTACCGGAGTGCCAAGTCTAGGTCCAAAAGACTTCTCAACAGCTTCTACCCCCCAAGCCATAAGACTCCTGAACAGCTAATCATGGCTACCCGACTATTTGCACTGCCCCCCCCCACCCCATCCTTTTTTACGCTGCTGCTACTCTGTTAAGTATTTATGCATAGTCACTTTAACTCTACCCACAGTACATAACCCCAATACCTAAATAGCCGGGGCCCCCCCACATTGAATAGCAAAGGTACCCCCTGTTTAAAATAGCCCCCACGTCACTTTATTTTTTCTGTAATATAGCTCAATACGTCCTTTTTTTATTCTGCTCTTTTTTTCTCAACCCATTTTTTGTTGTTTTTTATTCTTATTTTTTTTTTTTTAAATAAAAACCTGTTGGGGTTAAAGGGGTGTAAGTAAGCTTTAAAGTAATGTTGCACTGTTTTTATTGGGGATGTGACCAATAAAATTTTTTATTTTATTTTTAATATCCCTCTGCTGGGGCCAGCAAGATTCACCCGTGGAGTTGCAATGATATGGGGAAAGGTGAGGAATAGCCCAGAACTACCGGGGGGGATCTTTCAATGATCTCAAGGCAGCTGGGACCATAGTCACCAAGAAAAAAATTGGTTAACACACTACGCCGTGAAGGACTGAAATCCTGCAGCGCCCGCAAGGTCCCCTGCTCAAGAAAGCAACATATACATGCAGGAGGAATGCTGCCTATGACCCCAAGAACACCATCCCCACCGTCAAACATGGAGGTGGAAACATTATGCTTTGGGGGTGTTTTCTGCTAAGGGGACAGGACAACTTCACCGCATCAAAGGGACGATGGACGGGGCCATGTACCGTCAAATCTTGGGTGAGAACCTCCTTCCCTCAGCCAGGGCATGAAAATGGGTCATGAAAGGGTATTCCAGCATGACAATTACCCAAAACACACGGCCAAGGCAACAAAGGAGTGGCTCAAGAAGAAGCACATTAAGGTTCCTGGAGTGGCCTAGCCAGTCTCCAGACCTTAATCCCATAGAAAATCTGTGGAGGGAGCTGAAGGTTTGAGTTGCCAAACGTCAGCTCGAAACCTTAATGA